ATAGGGCGCGTGCGCTCGCCAGACAGACAGAGAGAGACAGAGAGATAGAAAGCAGGAAATCACCCCCCAGGGGGGATGGCCATGCCGCAATCCCTTCTCCTCCATTCTCCTCTCGGGATCTTGGGCACGCACGCACACGCGCCCGGCATGAGTTTAAGCCACCGGGTCTGGGACTCGAACCGCGGTCGACTACGTGGGAGTCCAGCGACATAGCCATTACGCTAACTGCTGGTCCCCATAACTTTTTTTTTTAAAGAATTATCTTCTTTAACTTTATTTATTTATTTATTTTAATTTTACTAGAGAGAGCAAGAGTGAGAAAGCAAGCCGCCAGGTATGGAACTCAAACCGCAGTCAGCCATGTGGGAGTCCAGTGCCCTTAACCACCACGCCACCTGCTGGCCCCGCGTGTTTCATATCTTATGTTGGATTTTCTTGTGTTAATGATCATTTGAAAACTACAGAAAGAATCCCACCTATTCCTCATCCATCCCACTTGCCATCTCCATCACTGTCCCTGAGAAGCTAACATGGGTGCATCTTTCCTTGGGACACTTGTGGTTTTGTTGTCTCCAGGAATTCCCGATGCAACTGAAGTGTTAACTCCTTATGGGAGTTTCTGGCTTTTTCAGCTGACAGGCTAATGATCATGACTAAGGACTACCTTTGTGGTCAGGGAGAATGGTGAGTGAGGATAGGAGACCCTTGGATACACTTCTCTTCCCATGCGCCCCGACCCCACTCTAGTGGATTGATGGAGACTATTTTTCCACCTTTCTTGTCCATGCTATATGGGAAAGACCACATCTGTAGTCCTCAGGCCATAGATAACCAGAAAGTCTTAACCAAAGACAAATAGTAAACAATTTAGCAACTCAACCCAACTTTTCTGATTCCTGGGCATCTGCTCTTTCCTTCTGAGTACTAGGCCTTATTATCATTTGTCACTATTTCTGGAAGCATAAATGTGCTGCTTCGACTTCTTGGATTTCAAATACAAGGTGAGAATCTTGGTGGAATGAGGTAGTCTGCCTTCTGTATACTTTTTTCTCTTTCTAATGAGAGATGCCATCACGTGGTAAGAAAAAGAGCAACATATGTAGACCAGTAGTTATTCTGACTTGGAATCATGATACTCCTTTATTTTTTGTCATTTGCCCCCAACTCCACTCCCTCAATATAAAAGCTGCTCCTTTATTTTTTATGCCTTAATTAAAAATTTTTTTAAAAATTTGATGAATTTTAATTAATGTTTTCTTTTTTAAAAGACTTTTGCCATAAAGCAGTTGTGCTTACTGGAGAGAAAAAGAGAGAGAGGGAATGTAAGAAATTGTTCCCCAGGGAGGATGGCCATACCCAGTCCCTTCTCCTCCATTCTCATCTTGGGATTTTGGCATGCATGCACACATGCCTGGCGTGTTTTTCAAGCCACCAAGTCTAGGACTCAAACCATAGAGCTGGCCATGTGGGGATCCAGCACTTTATCTGCCGCTCCATCTACTGACCCAATTTTAATTAATTTTTTAATTAAAAAAATTTAAAGAGAAAATGGAGTGGGGAGGGGAGAGAGAGAGAGAGAGAGGTTTTTGGCAGAGTTTCACCATGCCTTAATCCACCTGCCCCAGACTCCTACTTACCCAAGATCACAGGTGTGTGGCACCACACTTGGCTTGCTTTAGACTGCTAAAACTATTTCCAAGAAGCTTGCAAATGAGGTTGGTGCTACCGATTTACAAACCACACTGGAGCAACAAGGGTTTAGAGTAAGCGAAGCCCTGGTTGGCGCATCCCCCTCTGTAACTGCCTCCTTCCTAAGGACCATGCCCCTCCCTCCCAGTACAGGGAGCAGGAGCCCTTGGTCACTTCTGAATCTGTACACAGAGTGGTTTGTTTGGGGACCTGTGGTCCAGTAGGCTACAGTAAAGACTGTTGGCTGGAGGAAAAGTGGGCAGGTAAAAAGGTGCCATGGGCTTGGAGATTTTATTGTTTGTTTTTTTCTCTGGTGTTCAAAAGGAGGGAGAACTCATCTGCGGCCCTTGCAAGCAATGTGGAAGATAAAGAAAAGGAAGGGGCTTCAAAAGGATGTGGACTGAGTTTGAGATAAGACTGTTTGCTCTGTGGATGAATCAAGGTCAGGTTATGTTCACCTGTGGCCCAGCCACCACCAAGCAAATGGCTTCCCCTTGGTTCCTCTCCACTTCTCGGTCTAGCGAGGATAGAGTGAAATAATTCACAGGGCACAGAAACGACCAGATGATTTACTAGGCTTTATGAGACCCAGAGGAGTATATCAAGAGCTTAGGTTACCTGGTAACAAAATGATCTGGTTCCTGCCCTGAAGTAGTTCATCTTTGTCAGCTACAAAAAGAACTCCAAAGACATACCTAATGTCAAAGGTGTCTCCAACTTCCTTGGGAAACACAAACCAGTAGTTTGGGCCTCATAGGAAGTACATATTTTTGGTGCAAAATAAAAATGCATAGAACATGTTGAATATTCCTTTTTTTTTTTTTAGAGAGAGATTTTTGCTGTAGGGCGCGTTCGCTCACCAGAGAGGCAGAGAGACAGAAAGTGAGAAATCATCCCCCCAGGGTGAATAGACACACTGCAGTCCCTTCTCCTCCATTCTCCTCTTGGGATCTTGGGCACGCACGCACATGCACCAAGCTTTAGTTTGGACTCAGACTGCAGTAGACTACATGGGAGTCCAGCCGTATAGCCGTTATGCCATTTACTGTTCCCATTTTTTTTTTTTTAATAGGATCACAGAATCTGAGAACTGGGAGAAATAGACAAGGAAACTGAGGCTTACCCATTTTGTGAGTTTGTGGCAAGCCTGACTCTAAGTTCAATGCTTTTCCATCTCACAGTCATAATCTTTAGGAGAGAGGGCCGTTCACACATCTGTTGAAGGTTATCTTTCGCTGAGAAGCAGAGCTCTGTCTAAACATTCTGGGTTCTAGGAGGTGTTTGTGTGATGTTGTGGTTTAGTTCAGATCATTATCTTTCAAAAAGTCAGAGAGCTTGGCCCCTCCATTGGGGGTTCTTTATATAATAATAACTGTGATGTCGAACCCTGCCTGCATGTTGCTCCGTTGTGTATATTACCTGAAAGGTAGAACCTGTCATCTCTGCCTTAGAATGCAGGAGACTGAGGTTCAGAGAGATTAAGGAAATTGCCTAAACCACACAGCTCAAGGTGGTGGGACAAGAGTTGCATGCAACCCTACTATGGCTGCCTTCACTCTGCTTTTTAAAGAATCTCACTTTTACTTTCAGGAAATTCTTTCAAAAGCAAATGCACATGTGCCAAGAAGAAGCAAGGATGAAGAGAAAAGAAGTGTGGAGACAAGGTTCATGGAGTTAAAGCATTCTAAGGTCATCGATTGAGAAGAAGATTATGATATTAATTAAATCTGGACTTTTTAAGTCTGGGTTCACGGTAAAATGTTGAAACTATGTCTAAAATGACAGAGAAAAGTGAGTGACTTATAAACCAATGGAGAAAAAATAATCGCATAAAATAGAATAGAGTGTAGAGTAGGATAAGAACTTACTTGTCAAGAGAAGGCAGAAAAATGTATATAAAGAAGAGCAAAAATAAAGGACAATGTAAGATAGTGGAAATTCATCTAATATACTGATAATGACTATCAATGTCAATAGACTAACTCTGTAGTTAAAGCAAAACAAATGCACTACAGTTTATTTTCTTGTATTATAGTTTTTAGTTTTGTTTGTTTGTTTTAGATTTTTGCCATAGGACACATATGCTCACCAGAGACAGAGAGAGACAGTGAAAAAAAGAAGGAAAATAAGGTGTTTTGTGTAGCATGCTCTACCAGTAAAATCCGTCTAACGCTTTTCTTGTGATTAGATTAGGATCATGAGGATGATCATAGGATTATCAAAAGAATCCATGACCAAAAAACTGTTAAGTTTTCCAATGATTTAACCTTGACTCTTGTGATTCTAGTCTCTCTAAGCAGTCTCAACACTTCAAAACTCACCTCTATGCTGATGGCTCCTAAATGATAAAAGAAGTGTTACATTTACTGGATTCTTACCAAGTTCTAAAAGCTATTCTAAGCCCTTTATACATACTATTTTAATTCTGACAGCAACACTGGCAGAATTATCATTGTCACTTTATGGATGAGGACATTGAGGAACAGAGAGGTTGGTTAAATTGCCTGAGGTTACCCAGCTGGTCACACTGGTAGAGGATTCAGATAAGGGAGCTAGGATTCTTACCCATGCAGTCCTTTGCTTTTTTTTTTATTTTTTAGAATTATTTATTTTATTTTTATTTATTCATCCATTTATTTTAATTTGACCAGAGAGAGACACAAAGAGAGAGAGTGAGAAGGAAAGTGAGAAAGTAAGCCACCAGGTCCTTGTCTCGAACCATGGTCAGCCATGTGGGAGTGTCCAGCACCTTAACCACCATGCCACCTGCTGGTCCTGAACCTTTGCTCTTAATGATTCTGTGCAGCCTCTTCCAGATCTGTATCTATAGCTCTGAGCTCTAGTCTAGACACAATACTGTATCCTTCTACCTTTCTATCTGTATCTCCTTTGGCACTTCAGTTCTGTTCAATACTTTGTCACCAGCTACAGATACTAATTTCTCTTCCACTTTGTAATTGAGGCTTTAGCCAATGCAATCAGAGAATAGAATGTAATTAGTGGTATAAGAACTGGAAATAAAATAAATAAACTGATCTATATTTGTAAATTATATGTAGTGTATTGAGTAAAACCAGAATTAACAATGAAAGAAAGAAAGCAAAGAAATAATTTTAAAAGATAGTCATCTATAGAGATACTAAAGAAATGTATATGTGAGAGTCAGGGAAGGAAGCATTTTTTTAAAAAATAAGATAACCAGCCAAGTAATGCAGAAAAAAGGATATTAAAGGAATTGTATGCAGAAGATCTCAAGAAATTATGTTGAGTGAAAAAAGTCAATTGACAGGTTACATATTATTTGACTCTATTTAATTAACATTCTTAAAATGACAAGACTACACAGATGGAGAACAGTTTAGTGATTGCATGGATTAGGGAAGGATGAGGCAGATGGCTGTAGCTATAGGGAGTAGCAGGAGAGATCCTTGTGATGAGAACTTTCATGCGTCTTAATTGCAGTGGTCACATGAATCCACACATGTGAAAAAGTTGTGTACAACTAGATACACACACATATTAATGAGTTCATGAAAACTGGTGAAATCTGAAGAAGATAGAGGAACTGTATTAATGTCAAATTCCTGGTTGTGAATCATACTATAGTTAAGGGGGAAACTAAATGAAGAATATACCAGAACTCTCCATATTATTACTATATACAACTGCATATGAATCTACAAGTACCTTGAAATAAAAAGTTAAAAATGGACCAGCAGATGGTGTGTAGCAGTTACTTTGCTGGGCTCCCATATGGCCAACCACAGTTTGAGTTTCAGACCTGGTGGCTTGAAAATCACACTAAGTGTGTGTACGTGTGTGCCCAAGATCCCGGGGATCCCGGGAGGAGAATGGAGGAGAAGGGATTGTGGCATGATCATCCTCCCTGGGAGGATGATTTCTCACTTTCCCTCTCACTGTCTCTGTCTCTCTCTGGCAAGCACATGCACCCTAAGACAAAAATCTCTCCAAAATAAATAAATAAATAAATAAATAAATAAACAAACAAACACAATGCTCTGTTTCTTTTCCTGTCCCATTTTCTCTTAACAACTCTCACATTCCCATCATCTGAGTCCATAAAGCTTGAGACTCTAGCATCCTCTTTTATTTCACCTCTCCATTGCCTTCCCATCAAGTCATTATTCCCATCTCTGCAACTCTTGCATCTCTTCTCCTCTTTACTGGCTCTGTCTACTCAACTACAGCCCTCCTGACTGTTCATCTGCTATGGCAATAACATCCTATTGTCTCTCTCTGCCCTACGAAACTTTAAACTTCCGTCAACTCAAGTAATCCGAAAGCACAGAATTGTCTATACTACTGGCATAATAAATGGCCTAGATGTGAAGTCTAAGGTCCTCTACACCTTTGTGATGTATCTCTGGTTATAACAATAACAAGTTTCCCTCTGCTTCTTTTTCTCCAGGAAGTGGGTTTGTGTAATATGGACTAAGTTCTTGTCAGGAGGTACTGACCATATTTTGTTGCTTTACTATGGGAATCAAGTAACCAATCAAATAGTAGGTGGCAGATTCTTCAGAGCCATTAACCAGCTGTAAACCCTACATCACTGCCTTTCGTTTGGCTCATTTGTTCTTCTGGGCTTTTTGATGTGGTTCCCCATGCTGGGAATCCCCTCGGATCATGAACCAGGAACAGAATCCCCTGTTCATGAGCCAGGAACAGAATGAAGGCTGCTCTTGACTACATGGTGTGTGAGGGGTGGGTGGGAATTTACCTGGCATATTGGGCAGAACGGGCCATCCTGGCAGAGGGAATGTGGAAAAGAGCATGCTATATTCAGGGTATAGAAAGTTTTGCTGGAATGTGAATCATAAAGGTATGAATGACAAAACATGAACGTCAGTTGAAATATAGTAAGTAAAACTGTAAAATGCTCCACAAATGTTAATTGGTGCTATGATAACCTCTCAAGCAATGTTGTTTTTAGAATCAAGCAATGAAATATGTTAAGTTCCTTTGTGAGCTGGAAAATTTTTTTTAAATGTTAACTACATTAAGCTTAATTGTGTCAGAACCAGGAAATAGAGTTTCTTTTGAATTTATATTCTAAGAAGTATTTATAAAAACTCTGTATTAGTTCCTTTCCTCTCACTTGTATTCACAAGACTAGATAATAACAGACTTCAATCACTTTAACATATGGTTAGGCCAGTTCCGTGGGCTTGTGCTTAAAGCAGCCAGATCTCACAGCTGACCATGCAGTTTGAGTCCTGGACCCAGCAGCTCAAGAAACACACCAGGCATGTGTGCGTACATGCCCAATATCCCAAAAGGAGGGAATGGTGGGGGACTGCATTGTAACCGGAATGGTTAGCAAAAGATAAATAAATGGATGGATGGATGAATATATATATGTGTGTGTGTGTGTGTGTATGTATGTATATATATATATATGTATATACATACATATATATATAAACTTTTCCTAGTTCTTAGCCATTACACCTAAATACCTAAATTATGATATATTATCTTAGCTGTTTACTTTGCCTTTTGTCACTCTTGCCTTTTTTCTTTTTAGACAGGATTTCCCTATGTCATGATCCTACTGTCTCAGCCTCCTGAGTAGATGGGACTACAGGTGCACACCTTCACACCAAGCTTTTAGGGTGGACCAGGAATCAAACCTGTACCTCTCTTGTGACCTGTCAAGTAGCAGCATCCATTATCACACACTACAGCAGGTGATTATGACTCTTAATTTTTGAAAAAGTCTTTCTTTCATTGAAAAAAAGAGACAGCTTCTTCAATAAGGTCTCATGCTGCAAATCCCACTCCCACCCCTCCCAGCCAGTCTGAATGAGGGTGTGTTTAGTCAGCTGGGGAGCAGATTGTGCGGTCTTCCTTATGGATCCAGCACTGCTTGAGCAGTGTGTTATCGCTGTGCCACCAAGCCAGTTCCCAATTTTATTTTTCAAGTCAACTGTCTCCATCACCTTTTTCAGCCCTCAGCAGCTGAATTCAATGAGTAAAGTTATAGCTTCTTCCTACAGGAGTTGCTAAGAGGACTTTTAAAATGGTATAATTACAGCAATATAAAACTTATATAGGCTTGTGGACCAGAACAAAAAAAATAGCATTATGCGAAATACAAATGGCAGTGTAAGAACTTTCCCTCTCATCTATTCTCCACCCCTTCATTTTTGCTAAATCAGCACCCAAGAACAGAGCGGAGCCTTGTTTGGCTTCATCTCTCCCTTTGTATGGACTGAGTAGGTATGAATGAATACAGTCGTCTCCTCTGTGGAATGTTAGAATCAAAATGGAGTCACTTATATCAAACTCTAACAAAGATAAATGACTAAATGAAGCCAGGAAAGTGAGAAGGGAGGGTCCTCAAGCACACATGGCTCTGAAAAGAACTATTACAAAGTCCATCTAAAGGGCTTTAATGCATGTGTGCCTGAAACAAAAACGTTTGCCAAAGACTTTCCAAACTACAGCTTGCTGCAATGAGTCACAAGAACACTTGCTGGAGGGACCAGCAGTTAGCGTAATGGCTATGTCTCTG